GTAGGTCTAAACACAACAGAAAGGATATTATTAATAGGGAGCATAGAAGGCTGTGCATTTGATACAAGACGTCAAATAGTTACATACATTTTTCTAATCAGGGTGTTAAACCCTTTCAAATGGTATATCACATGACCTATGTTGCTATTTAAAAAAATCAAGATGGCGGCCATGCTTAAAATTTTGTAATTATAAAAAAATAATTTTTGGGCTAAAATATGCGTAAATATATTTAATTGAAATTCTAAAATTTTGGGTTTTGTATGTTGAACCGTTTAAGCACTATAGGTTTGGTTCCATCTTTAACAACTACCCTGTATAACGTTTATTTAATAAAGACAATGAATATGCAGACAGCGTTCTAATTATTATTAATACCAGAGACAATCATTCTTTATCATCTTCATCAGAGACACAGAACAACCTTCTTCGTCTCTTTTGACATCTGACATTTGACATTACATTTATCTTAGATCGTCAATAACTAGACTTGAACCTAATATAAGGTAAAAGAAAAGCATTACTTATGAATAAAATGGGTTTATAACAACATGTTATATTTCGTCTTGCTTTCGCAATTTCTGCCAATAACTTATTTATTTCTTTTACCTGTTCTTGTCTTTAATTTCTTAATAATTGCAGCTGATATTACCCGTTTTTCTTTAATTTTTTCACTTATTTCGAATCCTTGTTTTGTGTCTTCTTCTAATTTTTTTATTGTTACTCTATTTCTTTCAATACCATTATTTTGATTTACTAATTTGTCAATTATTTTTATTACTTCTTGACTTATTTCTAATCTATCTTCTTTTACCACATTTGTTGTTTCATTTATTCTTGTACTTAGTCTTTCAATTTATTGTTTGATTTCTTCTTTGTCCTGTTTTCTATTTTGTTCAATGATGTGTTCTTTGATACATTGTTATATCACTTCTTCATTTTTTTCTATTCCCATCTATTATTCATATTTCTTCTTTGTTTTGTTATTTATTTTGTTCGATATATTCTTTAATACTTTGTTTAATCTCTTCTCTATCTTCTTTTCTATTTTCATCCATTGTTCTTTTAATATTTTCTTTATTATCATCCATATAGTTTCAAACGTCATTCATATTATTTGTAACTTTTCTCATTTTTCATTTTCTTTGTCCTTTGTTGCACTTTCTTTATTTTTTCATTTCTTCTATCTTCCTTTCTGAATCTTTTTCTACACTGATTACTACTTCATCTTTTTCGTTTATAATTGTTTCAGTTAAGACGTTTTCCGACTATTTCTTGTATATCATCTTGCTCTATTTCTTATGCTTCTTTTATTTTTATTTTACCCATATTGCTCCTCTCAAATCCCATATATCTATTTTATTTTATAGCCCTATTTTTTTGTCTTGTATATAAATAGATGGACAAAGATGATACTGGAAATGGAAAACTAATATTTAGTTGTTATTTTTATCAGCAGTTTCTATTATTTACTGCACTATTTCTTTTGCAACAATTACTATTCGTATAATTTGAAATTACACTATAAATTTTACATTGTTAGGTAATGTTAGCTTAAAATGTGTTTATTGGACCATGTTAAGTCTAAATGTCCAAGGCAAGGTTATAGTAAGGGGAACTTAAGGTATAATTGATTATTCCATGTTTTTACTAGAAAATACCTTTCTGAAAATATAAAATGTTTAACTTTATAGACTATGCCACAAACTAACAAAAATGTCTTACTTTTAATATATTAAAAATTTTAAGTAATTTATCGTGTCATTTACATATATTTCACAATGTTTTAATTAATTGTATCATCTTTTAATAACCTTGTGTGTTACTAAGCCAACGTACTTCTATAGGGCTTTTAGAAAATCCACACTGACAAACATGATGACTTGGGTAATTTAGTTTATCTACGACCATTTTCTTGATGATAAATTTTATGAGATTAGATTTGATTTGCGAAATTCTGAGAAACGATAGATAACAATATGAGTGCCAATAATCCACATGCAAGTATATTTTGATGAAAAAAATTAACAAACAATATTTTTAGAAAAAATCTTTTAAATTGTCACGGAAAATCCACAGGAGTATCATACTCAATATCCAAAGAAATTGAATAATATGTTTATGGGCGTCGATAATTGATTATCAGAATTATAGGATCATACTTTTTAAATGAAACCTTAACAGGTTGTTTGGAAATTTTTTTGCTAACTAAATTCCCAAACGGAAATGATTTATGGTCCTAATTTTGTAAATCATCGTTATAAATAACTTGTCCTTAAGTTATATGTTATATTCCATCACAAATTATTCGTCATGAACAGTGAATAATACTGGTGTTCCCCAAAATTCATTTTTGGGCCCATTATTATTCACTTTTTATTTAAATGACTTAACTAAAAAGTTAATGGCCGTGGTGACAATTCAGCTATGCTGGACTGAAAAGCTGATGTAGAAGGCTGTAGATTGATACGAAGATCTATGCATATTTTAGAAGGCCCAGACACAGCTAATGGTGGTACATTTTCATACAGCACATGTTGATCCTCAACAACTATTGGTTGATCAATAGAGTGAGCTGGTGCAAAATCGTCTTCGGTGAATTTATTTGGCTGAAAAGGATAAATTCCCTAAGTATTAAATCCTGACACACCCTTTTCTATTGTAGCAATTCTCATGTATGTTTGTTGAAGATTGAAGCAATGTCATAGGGTGTTGTTTTCTGGTAGATATGAGTTTTCATAAAATAATCACACTCCTTGTTAAAAGCATTTTTTTAAAGAACTATAAAACGACACGTCCAAGGGTTGCAATCTATGGGACGTATTAGACTCGTTATAATTTCAAACATTTGCTTTCCTGTATACCTTTCAACTGGAAGGAAACCTAAAAACCTTTCAATAATTTTTATTGATTGAAACATACCTGATTACAAGAGTCATTTACTCCACCTTAGAAATATCAGCAGTGCAATCTAATTATCGAATAAATTTGGCCTTTTTTTATTTCATTAATAATATAGGATTTTACACTTTGATGCAACAGATCTATTATCTTGTTTTGACTATTTTTCCTAAGATAGTGAGCTTTCGTTTCTTCTTTTTTTAGCACCCTACGTACGTGTTCTTCTATGATGGGATCAAATTCAGATAGCAGCTCAACTACTTTTAAGAAGTTTTACTGTTAATATGCTCAAATAGCTTGTTATTTGTACCTTGGACACAACAATATACAATATATTGTGACTATGACTTTGAGTATTATTTGATGTATTTTACAACTCAGTCACATTTGAATTTGGAATTATTTCCTTTTCCCCTCTTTTTTACTTTAATCTTAGATTCAGTTCTAGAAAAAATTGATTTTTAGAGATTTCGTGGTCTTATAGAGTTTGATTCAGATGCTTCCAACTTTTAAACCCCTTCCTTTGAAAGGGAACTAAGTACATAGCCAAAAATTTTGCAGCAAAAGCAATATACGCATTTTTTCTTAAGACAGAGTACACTAGCCAGTTTTTTAAAATTTGCTATTCTTTACTTAAAATCTTTTATAATAATTAGGGCTAAATTTTTTACCAGTCTCATTGTATGGAAATCTATAATTGTATACAATGGTTTAGGTGGACATTGCTTTACCAAAAAGATTCTCTTGGCGTCTGGTAGTATCATTGGCCAGAGTGCTGGATCTGTACCTAAAAGTTGTTAAACAATTTCTGTAGATGCCACATTGGTATCAATGGTGCTCTCATTTGGCGACAGAGGGCTGCCACTGTCAGTTGCAAGTATCAGTTCAGGTATATCGTTCATTTGTTGTTCCTTATTTTTCTTAGGTGATTCTCTGTTGTCAGTGTCTTTCAATGGTGTCTTTGATGTAGAACAAACATCTTTAGTCGTCATTTGTTTTGGTACTGCCAGAAGTACTCTGTAAATAATGTCTCGCGACAGATTACGATTAGTGGATGTATGAATTACCTTATAAAGTCACCTTACAGAAAAAAACTCAGTGTCCTAAACCCCTGGCGTCTTATAGAAAAACCACCCTTTATAAAAATAATTATTTTTTTTAAAAAACAATGTGGCATGACAAATTATAAATAGTGGACATAAGAACCTTATAAGGTCTCCTTACAGTAAAAAACTAAATGTCCTAAACCCCTGGCGTCTTAAAGAAAAACCACCCTTTATAAAAATATAAATTATTTTTTTTTAAATGTTTTGTGACCGCTTACGATTAGTGGATATAAGAAGCACCTTATAAGGTCACTTTACAATAAAAAACTCAATCTCCTAAACCCCTTGCTTCAAAATCCAAAATTGGGCAATTTTTCTTGTCCAATTTAGTCAAATCATGCATAGATTTATTCTAGAGTGCTCAATGTTTAAATAAATATTTTATTTTAATTTTATAAAATACCTAACAAACTTTGCTATTTTTAAGAAAATTTTATTTATAAATATTCGCAGCTTTACTTAAAAGGGATCGCATCCTGTAATTGATAATAAAAAAAAGGAACCAGGGTCTATTGGTCAGTAAAAGGCAGGGTTTATAAAAAAAAATCAAGCTTTAAGGTATACCATATATTCCATAACACTTTCACGGCTGTTCCTATACAGGCCGCGTGTATCTGTGTCGATACACAGGGTACTATTTTGTTTTTTCGTCTGTATATCTTTAAATTATAACCTACTTTTTTGTTACCCCCTGTAGTGTACGTATATTTCATTTAAATTGATTCTGGAAGCTTAGGCAACCAAATAAACATAAGAAAAGAAATCTGTAATTGCACATTTTATCGTAACCGTTGCACAAACTGAAATTTATAGTTTCCCAAGTAGATGGCGCCAGTAGTTATACAATAAATACGAAATTAATTTTATTTATAGTTCGCTAGTTTTCTTAAAATTCTTAAAATACTTAAAATATTATAAAAAATTATCTATGTGATACAAAATATTATCTATTATGTCTTTTATCTATTTATTAACTTGGATTTATCGATTAAAAATGGATGCATTTCTTATTACGTCACCAAGTAGTGTCAATTAGTATTTAAATTTTTATCTATTATTGCACAATACGTTCACAAAGTGTATCGGGTTAACACTGGTTATCAAATATTACTAAATAAATAAATGATGACATATTAGTCACTTATACTTAAACTTTGTACACAAAATACAAAAGATCGTCCGATATACCTGGAATTAATGATTTCGTAGATAAAAATCTATATAAAATGAAGATTAAAACGGTGTTTTCAAGGTTATTACAACCATTGACGATAGCGACACGAAACATGACCCACACAAGCAGCACAGGTTCTAAAAATTTTTTATTTCGGCAGGTAAGATAATCATTATCATCGCAATGCATACAAATAACCTGTACAACATTGTTTATTTTATCTTTTAGTTGTTTGACAACACGAGTTGTACGTACACGTATCTGCTAGGCGATGCTGATAATAAAGAGTGCATACTTATCGATCCAGTGGTTGAGCACGCGAAGCGGGATTTTCAATTGGTGAAAGACTTGAATTTGAATCTGATTTATGCAGGTAAGTCACTATAAAATTAAATATATAGAATATAGGATTCATTAGTTTGTAATTCTTACTTTTATGTGTCGTTTTTTTATCTCATTTATAACTACAACGATATAATTGCAAATTTACACATTTAAAAATTTGTTTGGTTATGTCATTCTTCTTCAGTTTACTAACGAGGACATAATTTATAAGTTAATAGTGCTAATGGCCTTCGCTTATTTGGGTAACTGCAAAATTCCTCCAAACATTGAGTTGTGCAAATTAAAAAATAAATAAATGTTTTTAACTGGAAATTCTTTAAGTTTTTCGTTGGCAATTGAATAATAAAAGTATAGTTAGGGTACGGACGACTTTAGGGACAGTGGAATTTTAAAGAAATTTATTTGTTATCAGAAAGAGCGTATTTTAAATAGTACCTACATTTAAAAAAAAATTGCGGTAAATGCATTATTTAAGCCAAAAAAAATTATTTAATTTCTATAAAAATCAGCATTTTGACGACTGTAAACATCGGAACTCGATGGTTTCTGTCAAATTTGGAAAATATAATTGCAACGTTGCCGGATTGTGATAAAATTAGTAGTTAATAGAAAAATGTGATTGCCCATACTGGTCCATAAATATGCAACAAGAAAACGAAGCAACGACTTATCATAGGGTGGCGGCAATAAAAATATGTAATTAAAATAAAAGATTTTAGGGTGACACGATTGATAATTAACATATATAACATAGATAAATAACATACATATATAAACTATTTAAATGTACATACCATTTCTTATAGCCGGAGAGCTAGTATATATAGTATATTTTATTTACCCTGTATATTTCTTTATATTGCGAAATATTTATCGTTTATTATCAATTTCAAAAAAAATTTAAATCCTGACGTGTGGATCAAAAGCACACACCTTTTTTTCTTTATCTATAAGTGTGTACACACCTTCAATTTTTGAACAAACTTTTGATAGAACGATCGAGAATACCTATATGTAGATTGCTAGCAATCATTTTGTTATCTCTTATTCCTCGTAATTTCGCCAATTGAAATCTTATCTTTCGTAAAATATTTCATCAAAATATTACTCAAATCATCATGGTGAATATTCTGAAAGTTTTCAATTAAAAATTACCGTCCCCATAACAACTTTAGCCATTTTGTATTATCTATTACTTTTTGACATGATAATTTATTTCTGCAATTATCTAAAAAAACCCGTACGGCATCAATCCGAGTAAAATTTGATTAAATTTGAAATTTTTACCAAAAAGTTGACCATATTAGATCAGCCATTTTGAATTTGGCATCATAATCTATTTCAATGATCCAGTAAACTTTATTAATGTTAATCGGAGCACATTTTGTTTAAAATTTATCGAATTATACGCCATTTTTAATAAAATTTTTATGAAAATGTCGATCATATTAGATCAGCCATTTTGTTTTATTACTTTTTGACATCATAGTCTATTTTAGCGTTCTAAAGAACCCACACGGTGTTAATTCAAGCACAATTTGTTTAAAATGTACCGAATTACTCCATTTTTTAATAAAATTTTTAGCAACTTCGACCATATTAGATCAGCCATTTTGTTTCATTACTTTTTGACTTTATAGTCTATCTTAACGATCTAAAACTTCAACAGGGTGTTATTACTAACGCAATTTGTTTAAAATTTATATAGTTTTGTCAAAAAGGCGGCCATATTAGATCAACCATTTTATATTACTTTTTGAAATCATAATATATTCCAGAGATCTAAAAAACCCTAACGAAGCTAATTTGATTTAAATTTATCCAATTGCTTCATTTTTATGAAAATTTTTACAAAAAGTCAACTATATTAGATCAACCATTTTGTATTATTACTTTTTAACATCGTTATCTATTTCGGCAATATAAAAAACTCAGACAATATTAATTCGAGCACACTTTGTTTAAAATTTATCGAGTTGTCATTTTTTATGAAATTTTTGCCAAAAAAATCAGCCATATTGCATCAGTTATTTTGTATTAATTCTTTGTAATCTACTTCAGTGATCTTAAAAATCTCAACGATGTCAATTCGAGAGAAATTTGCTAAAAATTTGTCGAATTATGTAATTTCTTAATAAATTTTGTATTATTACTCTTTGGCATCATAATCTATTTCAATGATCTAAAAAACTTTAATTATGTTAATCCGAGCACATTTTGTTTAGAATTTATCGAGTTATACGCCATTTTTAATAATTTTTTTATTAAAATATCGATCATCTTAGATCAGCCATTTTGTTTTATTACTTTTTGACGTTCTAGTCTATTTCTGCGATCTAAAGAACCAACAGGGTGTTATATCTAACACAAGTTGTTTAAAATTTACATAGTTTCGTCATTTTAAATGAAATGTATGTCAAAAAGGCGGCCATATTAGATCAGCCATTTTATATTACTGTCTGACATTATATTCTATTCCAACAATTTAAAAAATCCTAACGGTGCCAATTCGAACATTTGATTGACATTTATCAAGTTTTTTTTACAAAAATTTAGCTATATTAGATCAGCCATTTTGTATTATTACCTTTTGACATCATAATATATTTTAAATTAAAAAAAACCACAGCATGTCAATCTGAGTGAACTTTATTTGACATGTATCAAGCTACGTCATTTTTTAAGAACTTTTTCTCAAAAAGTCGTCCGTATTTGATCAGCCATTTTGTATTATTACTTTTTTACATTATAATCTATTTTAACAATTTAAAAATCCAAAACTTTGTTATTCTAAGCAAAATTTAATTGAAATTTATTAAGTTATGTCTTTTTTAAAGACGGTTTAGTCAAAAAGAACGCCATATTAGTTCAGCCATTTTGAATTATTGCTTTTTGGCATCATAATCTATTTAAATAGCCCAAATAAAAACCACAATAATATTCTGAGCACAGTTTGTGTAAAATTAATCGAGTTACACCATTTTCAATGACATTTTTATCAAAAGTCGACCATATTAGATCAGCCATTTTGTATTATTATTTTTTAACATCATAATCTATTTCTATAATATCAATAAACCAAGACAGTGTTAATATGAGGACAATTTATTTGAAATTTCTCAGATTGCATCATTTTTTATGAACTTCTTACCGTATTTGATCAGCCATTTTGTAATAATACGTTTTTCACATTATCATTTATTTCAGCACTCTAAAAATCTTCAACAGTGCTAATACGATCAAAATTTGATGGAAATTTATCTAGTTGCTGCATGTCTATAGATATTTTTATTAAAAAAGTCTGCCATATTAGATCAGCCATTTTGAACTATTATATTTTGGCGTCACAATCAATTTCAATATTCTAAAACACTTCATAGGTGTTAATCCGAGTACAGTTTGTTTAAAATTTATCGAGTTATGCAATTTTTATTAAAATCTTTATCAAAATATCGACCATATTAGATTAGCCATTTTGTTTTGTTACTTTTTGATGTCATTGTCTATTTTAGAAATCAAAAAACCCACACTGTATTAATTCGTCGACAATTTGTTTAAAATTTACCGAGTTTCACCGTTATTAACGAAATTTATATTAAAAAAAAAGACGGCCATATTAGATCAGCCATTTTATAATAGTTTTTAACATCATAATCTCTTTTAGATTGAAAAAAAAACGCCACCATTTCAATCTGAGCAAAATTTATTTAAAATTTATCAAGCTGCGTAATTTTTTCGAAATTTTTTACCAAAAAGACGTCCATATTTGATCAGCCATTTTGTATTATTACTTTTTGACATTATAATCTACTTTAGCAATTAAAAAATCCCAACATTGTTGTTCTGAGCTAAATTTTTTTGAAATTTATTAAGTTTTTTAAAGACGCTTTAGTCAAAAAGAAGGCCATATTCGTTCAGCCATTTTGAATGATTGCTTTTTGGCATCATAATCTATTTAAATAGCCCAAATAAAAACCACAATAATATTCTGAGCACAGTTTGTGTAAAATTAATCGAGTTACACCATTTTCAATGACATTTTTATCAAAAGTCGACCATATTAGATCAGCCATTTTGTATTATTATTTTTTAACATCATAATCTATTTCTATAATATCAATAAACCAAGAGAGTGTTAATATGAGGACAATTTATTTGAAATTTCTCAGATTGCATCATTTTTTATGAACTTCTTACCGTATTTGATCAGCCATTTTGTAATAATACGTTTTTCACATTATCATTTATTTCAGCACTCTAAAAATCTTCAACAGTGCTAATACGATCAAAATTTGATTGAAATTTATCCAGTTGCTGCATTTCTATAGATATTTTTATAAAAAAGTCTGCCATATTAGATCAGCCATTTTGAATTATTATTTTTTGGCGTCACAATCTACTTCAATGATCTAAAAAACCTCATCGGTGTTAATCCATCACAATTTGTTTAAAATTTATCAGGTTACGTCATTTTTAATTAAATTTATATAAAAAAGTCGCCCATATTAGTTCAACCATTTTTAATTATTACTTTTTAATGTTATAATCTAATTTAGCGATCTAAAAAAACTCTCACAGTGTCAATCCGAGTGAAACCTAATTTAAAATATCAAGTTGCGTAATTTTTAAAGAATTTTTTGCCAAAAAGTCGGCCATATTGTATCATTACTATTTGTCATCATAATCTGTTTCAATGATTTAAAAAACCCTTAATATATCATTCCGAACGAAATTTGATGGAAATTTATCAAGCTGTGCCATTTTTAAAGATATTTTGACTAAAAAGTCGGCCATATTAGATCAGCCATTAAAGTATTATTATTTTTTACCATCTTAATTTATTTCAGCGATGGAAAGAACCACCAGAATGTTAATTTGAACAAAATTTGTTTAAAATTATTGAGTTGCATCATTTTTAATAAAATGTTAACCAAAATGTCGGCCATATTGGATAAGCCATTTTGTATAATTATTTTTCGATATAAGTGTTTTAAAAACCCCAATAATAATTTGATTGAAATTTATCAAATTGCATCATTTTTAAAGACATTTTTATCGAAAAGACGAATATATTGAGTCAACCATTTTGAATTACCTTTTGTTTTAGCGACATTGAAAATCTTTATAGCATGTCAAATGAAATTAAATTGATTTAAAAATTTTCAAAATTAGGTTAAAAAATTAATAAACAATTTCTTCACGACTATGTGTTTATAATTTTTGTTGTAAATACGCTTGACGATCTTAAAAATAACGTAACTTTGTTAGAGGATCAAGAAAATTTGGAAGATAGGGTGTCAACTGTTGACAATGCTCTTGATAGTCTTAGATACAACTTATCCGTACTAGAAAATTAAGAAAATTTGGAAGATAAGCTCGCAACTGTTTTAAATACTCTTCACGATCTTAAAACTAACGTATCTTTGTTAGAAGATCAAGAAAATTTGCAAGATAGGCTTTCAACTGTTGAAAATGCTCTTGATAGTCTTAGACAGAATTTATCCATACTAGAGAAACAAGAATATTTGGAAGATAAGCTCGCAACTGTTGTAAATGCTCTTGGCGGTCTTAAAAATAACGTAACTTTGTTAGAGGATCAAGAAAATTTGGAAGATAGGGTGTCAACTGTTGAAAATGCTCTTGACAGTCTTAGATACAACTTATCCGTACTAGAAAATTAAGAAAATTTGGAAGATAAGCTCGCAACTGTTTTAAATACTCTTCACGATCTTTGTTAAAAGATCAAGAAAATTTGGAAGATAGGGTGTCAACTGTTGAAAATGCTCTTGATAGTCTTAGATAGAATTTATCCGTACTAGAGAATCAAGAAAATTTGGAAAATAAGCTCGCAACTGTTGTAAATGATCTTAACGGTCTTTAAAATAACGTAACTTTGTTAGAGGATCAAGAAAATTTGGAAGATAGGGTGTCAACTGTTGAAAATGCTCTTGATAGTCTTAGATACAACTTATCCGTACTAGACAATCAAGAAAATTTGGAAGATAGGGTGTCAACTGTTGAAATTGCTCTTGATAGTCTTAGATAGAATTTATCCGTACTAGAGAATCAAGAAAATTTGGAAAATAAGCTCGCAACTGTTGTAAATGATCTTAACGGTCTTTAAAATAACGTAACTTTGTTAGAGGATCAAGAAAATTTGAAAGATAGGGTGTCAACTGTTGAAAATGCTCTTGATAGTCTTAGATACAACTTACCCGTACTAGAAAATCAAGAAAATTTGGAAGATAAGCCCGCAACTGTTTTAAATACTCTTCACGATCTTAAAACTAACGTATCTTTGTTAGAAGATCAAGAAAATTTGGGAGATAGGCTGTCAACTGTTGAAAATGCTCTTGATAGTCTTAGACAGAATTTATCCGTACTAGAGAATCAAGAAAATTTGGAAGATAAGCTCGCAACTGTTGTAAATGCTCTTGGCGGTCTTAAAAATAACGTAACTTTGTTAGAGGATCAAGAAAATTTGGAAGATAGGGTGTCAACTGTTGACAATGCTCTTGATAGTCTTAGATACAACTTATCCGTACTAGAAAATCAAGAAAATTTGGAAGACAAGCTCGCAACTGTTGTAAATGGTCTTGACGGTCTTAAAAATAACGTATCTTTATTAAAGGATCAAGAAAATTTGGAAGATAGGGTGTCAACTGTTGAAAATGCTCTTAGATACAACTTATCCGTACTAGAAAATCAAGAAAATTTGGAAGATAAGCTCGCAACTGTTTTAAATACTCTTGACGATCTTAAAAATAACGTATCTTTGTTAGAAGATCAAGAAAATTTCTAAGATAGGCTGTCAACTGTTGAAAATGCTCTTGATAGTCTTAGACAGAATTTATCGAATCAAGAAAATTTGGAAGATAAGCTCGCAACTGTTGTAAATGCTCTTGACGGTCTTAAAAATAACTACATTCTACCGTTAGAGGATCAAGGAAATTTGGAAGACTGTTGAAAATGCTCTTGATAGTCTTAGACACAACTTATCCCTATTAGAGAATCAAGAAAATTATTTCGAAATATCACATTTTCAGCCTTTATTGATACAACTTAATGTCCAAAAATATATTTGTATCCATGCACAATATGATGACAAAAATGATTGTACACTCAAACACACTTAACTGTAGAGAGGTTATCAGAAAATTGTATTTGTATATACTTTATGTACTTAAAGCTACCTAGGAACGGTAAGATAATAAAGATGAATGTACTACACTTAAACCATTTCACGAGTTTGTTGTGAAGATCAAAATGTATAGGTACTCGTCTTCGCTTATCGTGTAAATATGAATCTTAAGTACTGATATGGAAATATGTTTCAAGTACTCAAGGACGGAGTACCCCTTAGATTTATCGATGATAACTTTGTATCTAGGTGTATAATAATATGCAAATTATTTATGGAAAAACAATAATTCAAATTATAACTTTTAATTAGTAAATAAACAATCTTCATTCATTACAAAAACTTAGAGACAAATCACTGTTATTACTTAATTCATTAGGTTCATTAGGTCATAAACTCAGTCGGTCTCAATAAAAGAATGATCATTGTTTAAAATTGTAGGAATACTGATACAAATCTGAATGGAAGAAGAGTATTAAAGTCAAACCTAATGTGGAATTAGATTTGTAAAGTTTTATTTGTTTCTAACTCAGGATCAGCTGGTGAAGTTCTAGCTCTCTTATTTAATGTTTCGAAGCCTGGTGCTAGGTTTTGTGGACTGTTAGACTCTCCATCGTTATCTGAATATTATATTCAAGTTTAATTAAATTATAAATATTGTACACCACTCCATCAACAATCAAAGACATTTTTTCTATTCTAGCAGATTTCTTTTATCTCCTTTTTGTTAAAAAGTATTTAAGAAGACATTTTTCTATTATTCGAAAGCTTTACTAGAAAATTTGCGAATTCCAGTATACTAAGAAAGTCAGTTTTATTCGAAATTTTAAGTATGTTGTCAATATCTGTAAATGTAAATTCTAGAGTTTTAGTAGATTTTCTAAATAATATGTCACTTGCATTTCGTAAATAATTATATTACTGTTACGCCTAGACAATCTTTTCAATGTTATGCATCTGATTTCGATGATTTGTTGTTTATTTTCACCCAAACGATCCAAACGGAGCAGTATCGATTAACACATCGTGTAATATTTTTTTCTTTTAATTTCAGTCAATACTCATATGCATGCCGATCATATAACCGGATCAGGATATCTAAAATCCCTGGCAGGATGTAAAAGCATCATTTCCAGGAACAGCGGAGCGCAGGCGGACATATTCGTTGACGAGGGCGATTTTATTAGATTCGGAGATCATAAACTGAAAGTTTTCAGCACTCCCGGACACACGAATGGCTGTTGTTCGTTTTACTGTCAAGAACAGGTAAGTGGATGCTCTCGAAAGTTCTGGGCGGAAGCTGGAATCTTGAATCCGACATAGGCTCGGTGATTTGCCGTGTTTAGAAAGGGAGAAAAAGTCGTTTATAGTATATAGGGTGTCTCGAATAAGAGTGATCAATTATAAATGTAAATATACAGCTTATTAACTGTTCTAAACCTTGTTTACATTTTATTACTTTAATATCGGGTCAGATTATAAGGAAAAATTGTTATTTTAATGGCATTCAAAAAAAGATTCATCTATTTTTAAAAAATGTATGGTTTGAGATCTTTTGTTTTTTTAACGACACATATATTTAAGATTCTATGTGTCCACCCTCTTCTTCAATGAATGCATGTATGTACATTTTCAAACGAATTGTGGCGGAATATTTTCGATAATATTTCTATTGTTATTTTTAATTTTACTTTTCTATGCTTAGGATTTTAGGTATTTATCCTTTATATATCATCAGAGAAAACATTTAGATGAGTTAACTCACAAAATCAAGGTGACTATTCAATCATTCCAGCTTCACCTATCTATTATTTAACGAATCTCCTGCTATCAACGAAAAATGTTGTAGTGCGCCATCTTGTTAAAAGTAAACGATGTATTTAATTCCATCTTGAACTAATTATGGATAAAAAAACTCTTCCAACATATCTGTGTCATCAGTTTTTGCTTTAATAAAGAAAAAATTGCATAGATTTTTGAATTATATAAATTGATTACATACATATTGTAAATTGGCTCACTTTTAAAGCAATGTAAATCTATTAATTATTAATAATTATTGCAATAAACGATCAATACGGTGTTATATAGGACATGGAACTGTACTAATTTTTTTCACCTTACATTTATAGAAATGTTTTCTTTTTGTCCTTATTAGAAAAATAAACTAGCTTAAGGAAGCTCGAATTAAAAAAAATGTAAATTAATAGTTTCTTCCAAAAAGAAACGTTTGATACTTAGTTATTATTAGGAAATAATTTGTTCATCAATACAAAATATTGATTTCTAAATAAATATCTAGTAATAGCCAATTATAAACAGGGTAATTTAATAAATTAATAATGTATACATGATTTTCTTTGTTGAATTTTCGGTAAAACCTTTTCAATACTATTTTATCTTTATTATTTTTTATAGAAATGTGTTCCTTTCATTGTGATTAGAAAAATTTCGATAGCTGTGTTGGATTGGATTCTTTAGCCTGCTGTTGTTTTTGTTGGTATCTTCTGTTATAATAGTGTTGGATAATTATTTTTTTAAAGGAGTTATGGTATATAAAAGAGCTCTGCGACTGATTTATATGTGCTATAGATAAGATTAGATTTAGTTTGGAATGTGGGCCATGTAGCCTTTCCCATCTCGACCGAAAAAGATCTATTATTATGTATAGACAACTTTGTCCAGTTTAATCTCTTGTAGTAGACTCCATAGACTAGGAAGTGGCCCTCGGACGTAGCTTGTTGCCCTAGATTTACTTTTTGAAGTGTAAAGAATCTCTGTCTTGATTGATCTTTCTTTAGTAGCCTTTTATTTGTTTTTAATTTGTCGTTTTTTAGTCGCTATTTTTTTAGTCGATATTTTTTAGTCGTTCTTAGTTTAGATGTTTTGTTTTTAGGCTTTTCTTAGTAATTTTTAAGTCATTAGTCTTTACGCCTAAGCCTGCATTGACAAATCATAAAAGTCGATGATAATGTCGTTTTTAGTTGAATTTTTGTCGATTTTTAGACTTAGATTTTAGTTGTCGTTTTTAGTTGTTTTTAATTGGTCGTTTTATTTTTAAACGTTTTTTTTTTTAATCGTTTTGTTTCCTAGTTGTAGTTTTTTTAGTGTTAGTCGTTATACTGAAGTCTAGATCAGCGAAAACGTAAAAGAGTTAAGAAGACTCAAAAAACGTATCGAATAAGAATAAAGTTCGTTGTTTCTTTTTTAGTAAATTTTGTAATATTTTTTTTGCAATTTTTAGTCGGCTTTTAATAACTTTTAATCTATTTTAGACGTTTTTTGAGGAATTTTAAGTCGTTTTACTCTAGTTTTTCTTACTTTAAGAAGTTTTTAGTTGGTTGTTTTTTTAGTCGCTTCTTAACTAATTTTTTGGTCGTTATTATCGAATTTTGAGTTGTTTTTGTCGATTTTAGTCTTTTATTTGTATTCTTTTGTCATTTTAAGCCCGTCTTAATGACATTTTTAGTAGGGATTTGTCTTTTTTTTTGTAGTTTTTTTATCGATTTTGAAAGTTTTTTTAAATATTTTTTAGTCTTTTATCTATTCATTTTTTTTAGTCGTTTTTATTTGATCGTTTTTTAGTCCTTATTTCTTTAGGCTTTTTTAGTACCTTTTTAGTACTTTTTTAGTACTTTTTTTAGTACTTTTTTAGTACTTTTTTTAGTACTTTTTTTAGTACTTTTTTAGTACTTTTTTAGTACTTTTTTAGTACTTTTTTAGTACTTTGTTAGTACTTTTTTAGTACTTTTTTAGTACTTTTTTTAGTACTTTTTTAGTACTTTTTTAGTACTTTTTTAGTACTTTTTTAGTACTTTTTTAGTACTTTTTTAGTACCTTTTTAGTACTTTTTTTAGTACTATTTTAGTACTTTTTTAGTCGTTACATTGAAGCCTACACCGACGAATGTGAAAAAAAGTTTTTTGTCATTCTTTAGTATTTTTTTAGTCTTTTTTTTAATCGATTTTAATGTAGTTTTCAGTCGGGTTTTTTAATTCATCGTTTTTCTCAAAAAGGCGTTTTGAATAAGAATAAAGTAAGTCCGTTTTTTTAGTAAACGTTTTAATCGTTTACTGTAGTTTTTAGTTTTTTTTTAGACTATTTTAGGCGTTTTTTAAGTCGTTTTAGTCGAGTTTTTCTCGATTCTTACTCGTTTGTTATCGTTCCTAAGTATTTTTAGTAATTTAAGTCGATTTTATATCGTTTTTAATCGGGTTTTTGTCGGTTTGAAGTCGTAGTTTTTAGTCGTCATTTTCAGTTCTCCTTTTTTCCTTGTCGTCTTTTAGTTTTAGTTTTTTATTGTTTTTATTAGGTTATTTTTTAGTCGGGTTTTTTATTCTTTCTTCTTTATCGTTTTGTTTTTTAGTCGTTAGTTGTTATACCGATAAAAATAAAATTAGTCGATTTTTAGTAATTTCTTTAATCGTATTTTTGTAATTTTTAGTAGTCTTTTACAAGTTTTTAGTCTATTTTAGGCGTTTTTAAGTCGCTTTAGTCGAGTTTTTTGTTTTTTTAGTTGTTTGTTTTCGTTCATTAGTAATTTCTTTAGTCATTTTTTGAGTCGATTTTTTTTGTCATTTTTAGTCGGGTTTTTGGTAGTTGTTTAGTCGTTGTTTTTTGTCGTCCTTTTTTAATAATCGTTTTTTAGTCGTAGTTTTGTTAATTTGGACATTTTTAGTCGTTATTATTTATTAAAAGTCGTTCTTTTTTAGTAGTTTTGTTTTGCGGTTTTTCTTAGTTTATTTTAGCGTGTTTTGTTTTTTTCACTTTTTTGTTTCATTTTTGGTGTTTTTTTGCGTTTTTTGCGATTTTTGCGCCTTTACATTTTTTTAGTTGTTGTTTAGTTACACCGAAACAACGAAAACGTAATTCTTGAATCGCTTTTTAGTAGTTATTAATCGCATTTTAGTAGTTTTTAGTATATTCTAGACGTTTTAAAGTATTTTTAGGTTTTTTTAGTCGGGTTTTTCTCGTTTTTAGCTGTTTTTATTTGGTTGTTCTTTTAGTCGCTCTTTTGGTTGTTATTGTCGATTTTTGAATAGTTTTTGTTGATTTTAGTTGGTTTTTATGTTTTTGTCGTTTTTTAAACGAGTTTTAAAGTATTGATTTTAATCGTTTTGTAGTATCTTTTTAGTTGTTGTGAGTCAGTTTTTTCAATCTTTATTTTTCCTTTTTTATTCATTTTTTAAGTCGTTTTTAGTCTATTTTAAGCGTTTTAAAGTTTTTATAGTCGGGGTTTTCTCGTTTTTTAGTTGTTTATAATCGTCTCCTATTTATTTAGTCGTTTTTAAGTTGATTTTTATTCGGGTTTTTGTTTGTTTTCAGTCGTTGTTTTTTAAGCGTCGTTTTCTTTCGTCCTTTTTTAATGATTGTTTTTTAGTTGTTTCAATTTGGTCGTTTTTAGTCGTTTTTAGTCGTTTTTATTCGTTTTTAGTCGTCTTTATTCGTTTTTAGTCCTCTTTAGTTATTTTTAGTCGCTTTTTCTTAGTAGTTTTATTTCTTAGTGTTTTGTTTTTTTTGCCTTTTGTTCTGCGTTTTTTTACGGTTTGTTTGGCGTTTTGTGTTTTTCGCTTTTTTAAATTTTCTTTTTTGAGCTTATCAACCAAATACATAATTCCCAAAAGGCATTACGAACAAGACTAAAGTTACTAGCTTTTTTTAGTAATGTTTTAATTGTTTTTTGTGGTTTTTAGTTGTGTTTTAGTAGTTTTAAGTCTATTTTAGACGTTTTAAAGTAAGTCTTTTTGGTCGGGTTTTTCTCGCTGTTTAAGTAGTTTTTTGATCAATATTGTCGTTTTTTGAGTAATTTTTGTCGATTTTAGTGGTTTATAGTTTTTTTGTCGTTTTATAAGTCAGTTTTGGACCATTTTCGTCATAATTTGTCATTTTTAAATAGCTAATATCTATATCAGGCGGTTTTTAGTATTTTTAAGTTGTTTTTTTGCTAGGTTTTTCAATCGCTTTTTTCTTTTTCTTCTAATTTTTTCAGTCGTTTTCATTTGATCGTTTGTTAGTCGTTATTTCTTTAGGCTAGTTGTATTATTTTTTGTTGGTCATTTTTAATCTCTTTAAAAAACACTCCTTTGGCTAATACCGCAACAGATATTTTATTATATCCAAAGGAAAGTCAGCAGAAATAGAAATGTAATTTCAATGCAATACCTTTGATTTTACTTACTAAGGAAAACGTACAAATCTTTATTTTCATTTTAATTCAATACTTATTGCTGCATCAGCCAAAGAAGTAGTTGTTTTCAGAAAAAAAA